CTGGCATGTGGTTTCCTATCAAAGGATATGCAAACTAAGCGAGAACCGGGACTGGCCAATTTTTCTCTACTGAAGCCGACTTCTGTGTTTTGTACATTGTCTCATTACTATAAATGTTTTACTTTCCGAAATTTTGATATTCTTACATAATGACCATGCGACCTTAAAACGAGATATACACATTAATATTTCTGACAAGTAATCAAAATTTCTTTGAGCAGGTACACAACATTTTACACCAATTTCTTAGGTTCTTCATTAGATAAAACCATGTTATGTCTTATAACAATGTAACAGAAATGAATTAGTTTTAAAATTTAAGTATGAAAGTAAGATGGTACAAACGTAAGCATAAGTTTTCTTATACTCGTGAGTATTGATTTCTACACAGGAGGGTCTTTTTTCACATTGCATTAAAACTTTCATTAATATTATTTATTTATCTGGTGGACCACGGCATAAATGGTATTAATTATGCCCTTGGGTCAATATGGCCCCGCCCGGGGGTCTTTGTTAATATAGTCTTGAATAGGCAAAGTCTTATTTAAGTCCTATTTTATGAAATTACAATCAGTTTAATTATTTGTCATGTACTATTCCCTTGTCGCCCTCTGCAAAATTGATGTCTAACAAGCCCCATATTGGCCCAACACCGGGTCACTTGTTTTATACAGACTTTTAGAGGAAAAAACATTGTGTGAAGCCAAGAGCTAAGATATTTGGCATGCATCATCAATTTGTAGTTTTCTACTAAAGTTACATTATTTATGGTCCTTCCCCACAAGTCACTTATTTATCACCTTATCTTATTGTAGATAACTACGAAGCCAAGAGCTTCTATATTTTTGACACATAGAATTGCAATGTCGACCTCAATCAAAGTTTTCTGAATCATGCACCAAGTGTAAAAATACCAACACCCTGACACCCTGGAGGCCATTAAGTAAAAAAATAATATTTAACATTTTTCAGACAAGTTTCTTGTTTGGTCTCTTCCTTAATTGACAGATTATCTTATATTTCTTAAACAAATTCACATTCGGTAGTATATTGCCAAGGTTTGCGGTGTGTTATACACGCAATGCAACAAAAACGAAGTGTTAATACTGCTTTAAATTAATCTTAGAATAGCTTCATTGGCAATAAGGATAAAAACGAAAAACAGTTGATATATATACTGAGCCAAAATGAAAACTAAACACTTGGTAATTTTAGACAAAAATTCTTAATTTGTTTTAAGGCAATGACTTAAATTTAAATGTATGCTATGAACAGAAAACCAGAACATCAGCTGGAAAAGAAACACGTAAAGACTTTTCTTAAACGATGATGTCAGACTATTCTCAAAAATTATTTCACAGAATGTAGAACAGTAGTTGTTAAGTAGCCATTGTGTCTACCTACAGCGTCTCGTACAGCCACATAACGTCTCCTCGATGGATCTCAAAACGATTTTAAACATTGCCTATGGAAGACGTAGTCATTAGTCAACAATCTTGCAACGCCTGTGGTGGATTGACTTCTTGACGAACACGTCCATCAATCTCTCGGATTGAGGTCATGGCTAAACTACAACCAGTCCTGGACGTGTACACCTGTTTTTCTCAGAAGCTTATGTGTAAGAAGTGTCATATGGGGTCTAGCATTGATGAAAAATCTGATCCCTGTACTGGAGGGCAATTAAGTTCCAGGGAACAGCAACAAGAGGAGAACATCTGTGCGCATAAATCGACCCCAAACGTGACACTTCTACCATCAAATCAGTAAACTCCATGGACAAAGCATGTTGTTAGCCTCAATTGTGGTACTCACGGACCCAGCAAATATCTGGATTTGTCACTGAAGACAATCGAAAACGGAATTTCCGCTTTTTTGATTGAATCTTAAAGACTCATTTTATCCCTGGAATGCTTTCACCTTTACTTCTCAAACATACATGTACTTTATTTTTGGCGTCCTGCTATAGTTTCCGAATAGTTTCTCATTGGCCAGTTACCTGATTCAACTTGTGCATTTGTTGACATTTTGCAGCTAGTACAATTATCGTGAATTAGTTTTTTGAAGAAATCAAAATTCTTGATTGCCTTTTCCAAAAATTAACTTTCATTTCCGAGTTATAATCTGCCTTTAATTATCTTGTGGCCTATACAAGCCATTTGCGATGATGAAAATGTGTTAAAATTAGTCCATTTCAGAGTCTCCTGCAGGGGAAGTCTAGCGGTAAGCAACCGATTTCAAGTGGTCGGCAACTGTCCCGGTTTGATATACTCGCGTCATGAGGTTGAACATTGTTTGTCGTGGACAATTAAAGGCCCTTGCAAAAGAGATTACAGATTTACCAGAATGAAGCCTTCCCATAGTTTATTGACATTCGGCATTTGATCGCACAAGATTATCAAAATGACAATTTCAATTTGTTTAATTTCACTATGCGTATTTAATTTACTTCAGACAAACATGCATCAAATGGAGCAAGCTTACACAGTCACGAAATGCACGTAACGGTACAATTTCAAGAACAAGTCAAAATGTTTTCATTTGATATAGATATACTGTTTAAATATTTTATTGAACAGTAAATGCTTTCATTTTGGCTCAGTTTATTGAAAAAGAATATTTAACAGAAATAAAATAATGGAAAAGGTGAAAACTTGACCATTTGCACATTGGAAACACTTCGTCTGGATTTTTTGCAACCAATGTCCTTATCAGGATACGTGACAATATGGCATAAGGTTGTATGCCCTGCTGGGCTCCTTGCAATTAGTCTCTTGTCTCTTTTTGTTTTAAGGTATGCAGTGCATCCTTGTTGATCTTTCTTTCCATATTTTCACCAGTTTTTTCTGGCGTTTTTAATGACTGAAACAAGTATTGAAGATATGGAAAAGAAAGCGCCGCCTTTAAACTTAAAAAATAATGATATGTTTGGACGTAAAAGGAAAAAATTCGGATTTAGGTGAAGAAATGACGTCTATGCAATATCCCAAAACACGGGCAATGGAAGCAGAACGGAAAAAAACCAAATTTCGTTGCTCCCACAAAATTTAATACATACAATTTTCCGGAATAAAGAAATAAGTTGCAGATCATTCAAGGCTGCAGTTTAACGCGACAATATCGCAAGACACTTCGCGAGTACCCTTACATTGGATTACATTGGACAGCCAGGACACTTGAAGGATGAGATTAACAAACATATGAAATTGAAAGTCGACGAAAACACGACTCTGTAAATGTTACCATGAAAGACTAACAAAACATGGATTAGGACGTGGTCACATCAGCAAGAAAACGACGTACAATTATTGTGGATATAGAAATTCTCATAAGTCAGGGAAGTGCCCAACAAGCAGTAAAAACGCACATTTTGCTCAAAGGAGAGAACTTTTATTTCAAGCAGAATGTTTCTCAAAGAAAAAGTTCAAAATCATGCAAATATTTGATAGTTTCAAATTTCAGAAAAGTCCCGGGTTGGGGAAAAACCTTCCTCGGACTCTGCAGCCCGTTTAACACTAAAAAAAGTCCCGTTAACCTTTTAAAAAAACCCTCAAATTTTAATTTAAAGGCAAAATTAAAGCAAAATTTTTATTTGGTTTTAAAGTGACCACTTTGAGCATTCTTTAAAAAAACCCATCATCATTTTTTCTTTGAAAAAGGGAAAGCACGACAAATTTCTTCATAAGGGACATCCCGGTACCCCCCTTTCCCAGTTTTTTCCCGGGTGTTAATTTTTGTTAATAAAATAAAATGTATTTCCATGCGTATTATTATTACTTTACCCTAGTAAATCACAGTATTATAAAAAGAAATACCAAACAGTACATCGGACCTCATTGCATTACGAAGAATATTTGCGGGCTGACTGATCGGTCATTATTCCCTGCGGTCTGGAGACCGCAGGTTAACTTTTGAGGCATAGAGGAGCACGTGACCTGTTTTCGGTACATGGAGGAGCATGTGATCTGTAAGCCGTACATAACTGGTTAATTGACCTTTTCGAAAACCTGGCTAAATACCGTTTGCCGGTACGTTACGGATAATCCTCTAGGGAATTAGTCAGAATTACACCTAATTAAGATCAAAAAACTATTGCGTGATATTTCTAATTTTCTATAATTATTTTACCGTTTAAGGTGGAAAAACTTTTGAATGATGTGTTTGAAAATTATCAATGTTTCTTTAATATGTATCTCAAAACTAGATTGTTTATACTGAAAATCTAAAAAATTAAAATATTCCATCAAAAATAAAAATATTTTCTGCGAAAACTTGGGGGTTTTATTTTTTTATTATTTTTTTGCTCGGAAATTTTCATAAAAGGGAACCCTATTTAACGTTTTCTTGAAAAGAAATAATTTTTTTATTTCGCTTCTCGGTATCAACGGCACCAGTTTTCCAAAAATCCCTTTTTCTAATTACTATTTTGATACAAACGTTATTTTTCCCCCCAAAAAATGTTGAAAATGTTAAATAAAAATCTTTATATCATTTAAAAAAGTTTCCCCCCAGGAAAAATTTATTGTATTTTCAATGAAAGGGACGCAATCTGCAAAACTCCTACGCCAAATGTCTCCCCTTATAGATTTGATAGTGGGGGAGTGGCAGTAGGAAGGTGCGGGGATTTTGGGAAAATTAAAAATTTTTGACGCGAGTATTGAAGAGACACATATTTTGATGGTGATATAAATGGTAGCTTCTACCTAATCTATTCCATGTATAAGCATATACAGTTTAATGTTGAAAGTAACGCAAGTCACAATTGTTATTTATTCATGTAAGAAATATCCATTCTCTCCCGAAGGAAGACTATTATTGCTGCAATTTTCAAATTGAATATTTAGATTTTTAGTATTTCCACAGATAACCATATTAGAACACATAACAATTATAAATAAGAATGCACAAAACGTATAAAAAGTTGTGCCTAAATAAGAATTTAGTGTAATACAATTCATATCCGAAAATGCACCAATATGTTGAGAATTGTTTATGTAACTTACAGGTTGAATCCATTTTTCTTTTTTGTAACAGGTGTTGCCAAAGAACTGGAAATATAAAAAGTTAATTTATATACCGGTGAGAATATAGTTTTTATTGTTATTTGTAAAAATGCAAATAGATTTCTCAAAAAAGTTATTTGTAAAAATGCAAAACGATTTCTCTAATACATGTATCTTCATCGGCTGACTATGGTGGCACAGAGGTGACATGTGTGTGTTTTTATTTATCTCTTGCGCACGAGTTACTAAGTCTTGGGCACGAGATAATTAAGTGGTGCGCACGAGATACTATGTCGTGGCCACGAGTTACTCAGTCGTGGTCACGAGATTATTAATTTGAATCGCACGAGATACTTTGTTGTGGCCACGTGTTACTTAGTCGTGGCCACGAGATAATTTAGTCGTGCACATAAGATACTATGTACGAGCTGGTATCTTGTGGCCACGACAATGTATCTCGTGTGCACAACTTCATTATCTCGTTGCCACGACTTAGTAACTACTGGCCGCGACATAGTATCTCGTGCACATCACTTAATTATCTCGTAGCCACGACTTAGTAACGTTGTTACTTTTCCAAATTTCCATTGTCCGCGGGAAACATCATCCTTTATAAGCACTATATCACTAACACTAGGACAAAAATGCGATTCAATTCGCGGTGATTTTAATTTGCTTTGCATTCTCTCGCGAAGACTTAATAGATATTCGTTGCGCCATATGTGCCAAAATGTGTCCAAGAGTTTTTGACCTTTTTTCCAAATGTTTAAAAGTTTTTCAGCATTGCTTTCATAAGGTACATAATCGGGATCATTATCATCACACTCCGTACATGGTATTCCAGTAAAAGGATTCAAGCAAATGAAATGCTTTGGAGTCAATGCAATTGAAGATTTTAAATCACTTCCAACATAAACTAAAGGTCGCGAATTCACAACAGCTTCACATTCTTTTAGTATTGTCGTCATCTGTTCTAGCGATAGCAGTTTTCTCCCAATTGTTTTTCTTAAAGCACGTTTTACAATGCCGATAAGGCGTTCATAAAATCCGCCCATCCAAGGGGCCAACTCTACGATGAATGTCCATTTGATGCCGGTATTTGATGTATAATTTTGAACGTCTTCGTCTTCCACTGCTGTTTTCCATACTTGCTTGATAATATCACTCGAAAGTTTGAATTGTTTTGCGTTATCACTTATAAGTTCCACAGGCGTTCCTCTTGTAGCTATAAATCTTTTTAAGCACATCAAAAAACTATTGCTGTCATATCTCGTACAACTTCGAGGTGTACAGCACGAGTTACAAGACATTTTAAAA